TACCAACACACACACACAAAAGAAAGAAAGAAAGAAAGAGAAAAAAGACACACACACACACTCCGAAAAAAAAAGAAGGGGTGCCAGAGAGAATATAAATACCTGGAGTGCAGCTGGACCAACTCTCCATGTATCTACTAGCCATTTCACTTCTATGCCTTCTCCAACAACACGCCTACGTTCATCTGGACAGCTTGCTACATGTTCCTAGACAATTTTTAGCATAGGAGTTATACAAGTTATGATTGAATAATGGCTAATTAGTACTTAAGTATCTTATAGTTTACCCATTAATGTTTGTGGAATTTTCTGTTAAACCTATCCCACTTCTATTTTAAAATAGCATCGTGCAGGTTTAAAATAGAATTCACTTAGGTTGAACGGTATATTCAATAAACATTTAGGGTTAAAATTTTCTTAAATTAGCATGAGTGTCATGTGGGAATATTCGGACGAATATTCCAGGCTTATATAGCCGAAGGTACTAAAGTGCCAATTTAAAAAACTTCAAGGTATATAATGTTGCAAAAAATAATTGAGGATATATAAGTGCAAAGTAGGGGAACTATAAGGTTTTTAAGTGTTAATGCATCCAGTTAAGATGACATTGCTAATTTAAGCATACAAATGAAACTGGAAAGATATATTAATATACCTTGCTCATAGGAAATGGTTGGCCAGATCGGCACAGAATCACTCTACAATCACCAGCATTTGCAACAAATAGCTTATCTCTGACTATTAATGCAGCAACCGCAGTACACCCAGGATGTGAATCTTTGTGAGTAATTCTTTTGGAGTTACGATGAAACATCAATTCATTTCTGAAGGCAACATCAGTCTTCAAGAATGCCTCTACAAGTGCGTCTGATGGACTGCAATTATACAACATTACAAGTCAAGCATGAATTGCATTTATTAATTTATTTATTTCTGGGTTTTTTTATGCCTTGGACTCTGCGTGGGACAGATTGGGGGGGTCAGGCCGAGGTAGACTTACCACCGTTAAGCCTGACAAGTAGAACCAAAAGTTTGCAGAAATCCTGGCAATGCTCGAGCGGAGAATTCTGCAGCTGCTGCACCTGCATAGGTGACATTCATTAGGTGTGGGAGGTTGGTGGACCAAAATTGAACTAGTGCACACTTAAGTTTTAATAAATGAAAAAGTTTAAAGACCTGAATCCAATTGGGTTGGAATTACCCACTAATTGAGCCAACGTTTGATCAGTTAAACACAAAAGTCTACTCTATAAAAGGTCACACTAAAGCCTAATCATAAAGGGTCCGAACTGAAGACGATGAGATATCCCATCTAATACACAGGATAAATTTCACATTTAAGATAAAGAGTAAGTAAAAGACATGCTAAGAATGATGGATATACCTCGATGGCCATCAAAAATCCCAAAAACATGAATATCTTTCTTGTTGCAAAGCTGTGGAAGCAAAAAGTATGTATCTTCCATAGTCTCCCTTCTTCCTGACGTTGCAAAAGATCCCCATGATAAAGTAGGATGGTAATAAAGAGAATCGTGTTGAGAATTGGGCCAGAGTTTGACTTTTGCTTCTGCTTCATGTGAAAGTTTCTTTGATAGCTGTTCCCCTTGATTGAACCAGTTCAAATCTTCTTGATAGTTCACAGGTTCCTTAAGATTGTTTTGAGGAGATGGGGTTCCTGAAATTTTCCCATTACGCCTTATCTTTCCCACATGCTTGATGATTATACTTAGCTCTTCAACAATTTCATCAAAAGAAGGCCTAAGTAGAGGATTTGGATCCCAACATCTTTGAATGAGTAAGAGAAGACTTGATGGTGCATCAGTGTCAGGATGAGAAAGAACAGGCCTCAGACCTTCTGATACTACTGCTGCTGTAAGTTGTTGCTCAGTATAGCTCATTTCAAGCACAGTATGTGCCTACGAGAACAACTATGTAAAGATCACTGTCTAATAATAATAGAAGAATCACGGAGAGAACAAGAAAAACTAAACATGACCCCGTACGTATGGAATATTAGCAACTCACTACATTAAAACAGTACCCTATGGAAGTTGTTGTAATGAATCAATCCCCAATACAGAAGATGAAAAGCCAAAATTCAAATGGAAAATGTGTCTCTTAGGCTGTGTTTGGTTTGAGAAAAAATGATGAAAAATAAATGGAAAGAGAAAAGAAAAGGAAAGAAAAAGAAAAGGAAAGAAAAAGAAAAGAAAACAAGAGTATCTTTATTGTTTGGTTAGGAAGAGAATTGAAAAGAAAACTGGGAGGAAAATGATAATAATTTAATAAAAACAAGGTAGAAGCAACAATTAACTCATGTTATATACAATCTATATTAGTAATTTTTATAAATTTATTTTTCTAGATGAAAATTCAATACAACTGTTTTTGGACCATGAAGAAAATAGATAAAACCCTAATTGTATTATGAAATCTCTTGGGCTTATATAGGCCCCTACAAATACAACTTTCAAATAACCCCCTAACTATTATCAATATGTCAACACTCCTCCTCAAGATGAGCGAAAGATATCCACTAAGCCCATCTTGTCACATCCTCTAATCATATCTACTGAGCTAAGTCCCTTAATCAGACAGTCTGCTGCCTGTTCCTTAGTTGGAACATGACTTAACTCTAGTAGTCTATTGTCCAACTTCTCTTTGATGAAGAACCTATCGATCTTGATGTGTTTGGTTCTATCATGTTGCACTGGGTTGTTGGCGATACTGATGGCTGATTTGTTATCATAACACAGCTTCATCTTGGCTCCTTGATCCAGGTTCAGCTCCATCAGCATATTTTTTAACCACAACAACTCCGTAACTCCCAAGACCATAGCTCTATAGCTTCATCTTGGCTCCTTGATCCAGGTTCAGCTTCATCAGCATATTTTTCAACCACAACAACTCCGCAACTCCCAAGGCCATAGCTCTATACTCTGCTTCAGCTGTTGATCTTGCCACCACGAGACCAAGTTGCCTCCTACAAAGATACAGTATCCTGAGATGGACCTCCTGTCATCAGCACAGCTAGCCCAATCAGAGTCACAGTAACCCTCAATGCTCATATGTTCATTCTTCCTGAATATCAGCCCTTTTCCGGGGGCACTCTTCAAATATCTCAGAATTTGGTACACTGCGTCCATATGATCTTTCCCCGGATCATGCATGTAGCGACTCACCACGCTCACTGCAAAAAAAATATCTGAACGTGTGTGACTCAAATAGATCAACCTGCCCACTAGCCTCTGGTATCTGTCACGATTAACTGGTTCTTCAGCCTCCGCATCCAGCTTGAACTTCTGATCGATCGGTGTAGTTGCAAGTTTGCACCCTAACATTCCTATCTCTTTGAGAAGGTCCAATACGTACTTCCCTTGGGAGAGGATAATCCCCTCCGCTCCTCGAGCTATCTCTATTCTAAGAAAGTATCGAAGCAAACCAAGATCTTTCACCTCGAATTCCTTACTCAGTGTCACTTTGAGTTGGGCAATCTCCTTTTCATCATCCCCTGTAATAACCATATCATCCACATATACCGCAAGCATGGTAATGTGACCCTCATCCCGTCGAAAGAACACGGTATGATCGGCGTTAATCTGCTGATACCCCATACCTATCATAACCCGTCTGAATCTGTCGAACCAAGCACGAGGTGACTGCTTCAGCCCATAAAGAGACTTCTTTAATCTGCAGACCTTGCCCACTGTCTGATCTGTATCGAATCCTGATGGTATCTCTATGTATACCTCTTCCACTAGATCTCCATGAAGAAATGCATTCTTCACATCTAGTTGGTGTAGCTTCCATCAATCATTTATTGCCAGAGAGATCAAGGTCCGAATAGTGCTTATTTTCGCCACCGGTGCAAAAGTCTCATCATAGTCGATGCCATATGTCTGACTGTACGCTTTTGCCACCAGACGAGCTTTGTAGAGCTCAACCTGTCCATCTGGATTCTGCTCCCAGTAAAGACCAACTTACATCCAACTGCTTTCTTCCCTCCTGGTAGTTTTACTAACTCCCAAGTGCGGTTCTTCTCAAGAGCTCCTAGCTTCTCATGCATAGCCGCTTTCCACTTTGGGTCCTTCTTAGCAACCTGCCAATTGTTAGGTACAGTAACAGAGTCCAATGATGCAATGAATGCTCCATGTGTAGGGTGGATGTTAGAATATGATACAAACTGGGCAAGATCCCAACCATATCTATCAGGAGGATTTTTCGTATTGCTGCGAGTAGTCCTCCGTACTGACATTTGTGTGGGAGGAGTAAGGAGAGAAATGATATCACCTTGGGAGGAATCTGGTGGTGGTGTAGGTGTATTAGGAGTCGGGGCAGGCGTTGTCAAGGGACTTAGCACCAGTGACACTGTAGCTATTGTTTCTGTAATTTGCTTTCCCTTCCTACTATAGGTAAGTAGCTCCCCCTGAACCGTGGGCCTAACACCTCTTGTCTCCTTTTCTTCTTCTTCTTCATTCTCCTGCTCCTCAACCAATTCTCCCTCCCAAGGAATCGATAGAGAAATCGATTTCTCCACATTATTCTCTACATTGTTCACCTGCCTCTCACCATTCTCCCCCTCTCGCCTCATACTTCCAGTATCGGGCGAGTCACCAACGGATGAGGTTACCTCCCGGGTGTAATATGGCTCGAGTTCTCGAAAGTGCACATCCATGCTCACAAACAACCTCTTCTCCACCGGGCTCCAACAAACATATCCTTTCTGAGTAGCAGAATATCTCACAAAGATGCACTTTACCACTCTAGGGGCAAGCTTCCCGACGGATGGCCTGTTGTTCTTCACAAAGCACACACAGCCAAACACCTTTAGTGAAAGAAGCCCACCATTATCTCCTTTCAACGTCTCACACGAAGACTTTCAATCCAGCACTCTCGAGAGCATTCTATTGATCAGCGTCGCTGCTGTCAATACTGCTTGTCCCCACAATGTTTCTAGGACATTCATGGAGATCATCATGCTTTTCTAGTAACCTCTAAAAGATGTCTGTTTTTCCTCTCTACTACCCCATTCTGAGCTGGTGTGTATGAACATGTGGCCTGGTGCTGTATTCTCTGAGCTGACAAGTATTCCCCAAGCACTCTGTTGGTATATTCTGTCTCATTATCAGATCTCAATACCTTTACCACTGCTCCGTATTGAGTCTGAACATTCTTATGAAAGTTTTGGAAGCAACCAAACACTTCACTCTTATTTTTCATCAGGTATAACCAAGTAACACGAAAGAAATAATCAATAAAGGTAACAAAATACTTGTATCCATTCATAGAACTTGTGGAACAAGGCCCCCAAACATCTGAATGTATCAGGTCAAATGCACGAGAACTCCTATGACCAGAACTAACATAAGAGATTCTAGTAAGCTTTCCAAACTCACATGCATCGTACACAAGTTTCTGTTTATTTGCTCTCTCAAATAAAGATGGATACAACCTACTTAAAACACTAAAGGATGAGTGTCTCAAACGGTGGTGATGAAGCATCAACATACTCTCAACACTCATCTCAGATCCTACTCCTGCTCTCTCTACCATAGATACCAACGCTGAGTCCAGCCCTTCACGATCCAGGTACCACAGTCCACTATTCCATATACCAGTCCCAAGTCTTCGTCCTGTCCCCTTCTCCTGAAAGATCACCTTGAGAATGTAAAAAAAAACAATGCATTTTAGTTGGAGTATGATAGCACTAATGGACAAAAGATTGACTGAAAAAGAAGAAGCATGCAAAACATGGACAAAGTCACCGAATCTGTACAATTAACAGTACCATTACCAACCACTGGCTGAAATATACCATCAGCTGTTTGAATACTATCAGCCGATGCTAGGTGAGTATATAATGAGAACTCACTAGCATTACCTGTCACATGTCGAGACGCACCGGAGTCAACTATCTATTCTGATGACCCATCGGGGGACATAGAAGTAAGAACATGTATGTCATCAGTACCTTTGGTCGGATGAGCATAAGTAGAAGTGTTGCCTCTGACGAAGAACGAAGTGGATGTCTCCTCAGTCCCACTCCTCCTGTCTCCATCTCCTGTTACTCTCTGCTTCCTCCTGAGTATCTCTAGAAGAGCATGATCCTCCTCAGTAAAGACCACCTCAGGTGCTTCCTCTCCCTCTGCTACCACCAGATTCGTCCGGTTGTCTGCTCCTCTTTCACCTCGTCGACCCCCACGGCCATAACCATGACTTCCAAACTGTCCACGACCATCCGAATCTCTTTCCTTGGATGGCTTGGTACAAGCATGCCTTAAATGACCCACTTTACCGTAGTTATAGCACTGCCGAGTCTCCCCCTTAGATCCAGAGTTGGAGATTACCAGTGCTGACTTCTTCACAGGAAGTCCACCTGTCCCCGTCTGCAGCCTAATATGAGTCTCCTCCTGTATCATAGCCGAGACTGTCTCCTCAAGTGTGGGAATCTTCGGCTGAGCTAGCAGCAATACAGTTCTCTGAGCAAACTCTAATGCCAGTCCCTTGAGGAACACCGTAGTCCTCTCCTGTAGAAAGGCTTCTCGCTCCTTACACTCCGGGTCCTTACAGCTCGCCCGAGGTGAGAAGTGATCATAATCTATCCACTGACGTTCCAGCTCTGTGGCATACCCCTGGACAGTCATCTCTCCCTGGACTGTGACGTCGATTTTTCCTTTGATCTGGAACACCCTCAGGTTATTCCCCATCCCATCATAGGTCCTCCTCAACTTCTCCCAAACATCCTTCACCTTCTCAATGCCATCTACTGTAGCGACGATCGACTGGACCAATGAGTTGAGGAGCCTGATGTATAGCAACATATGAGTGGATTTCCACTCATCTCTTCCAGTTGAGCCTTCAACTGGCTCTGTCATCTTTCCTGTCAAGTACCCCTCCAGGTTCCTCCCTGCAAGGG